TAGGGAAATTCGGAATAGGGAAACGGAACTCAAGGAGCCAGCAGCTAGCCGACTTCATAAAGAAAGAAGGACTATTTTTGTGATAAACTCTTTCTTTCAGAATCGGCCCCACAGAAAGTGGACCTGGTTGAGCCCCGACGGTTCGACAAAAAATGAAAGTGACTTCATTATGACGACCAAACGACAACTGTTCAGTGATGTCTCAGTGATCGCGAGAGTGAAAATCGGCAGTGATCACCGAATGGTGAGAGGCACACTGAACCTAAACGTTAAGTTGGCGAGGTTACGTCTGATGAAGTCAACGCTCCGTCCCCCTCGTGCTCTAATCCAAAATCCCGAAACCTTTCAGCTCGAGCTACGAAACCGTTTTCAGTGCCTAGAAAATTGCAGCTAGCCGACTTCATAAAGAAAGAAGGACTCTTATTGTGATAAACTCTTTCTTTCAGAATCGGCCCCACAGAAAGTGGACCTGGTTGAGCCCCGACGGTTCGACAAAAAATGAAAGTGACTTCATTATGACGACCAAACGACAACTGTTCAGTGATGTCTCAGTGATCGCGAGAGTGAAAATCGGCAGCGATCACCGAATGGTGAGAGGCACACTGAACCTAAACGTTAAGTTGGCGAGGTTACGTCTGATGAAGTCAACGCTCCGTCCCCCTCGTGCTCTAATCCAAAATCCCGAAACCTTTCAGCTCGAGCTACGAAACCGTTTTCAGTGCCTAGAAAATTGCAATGCAGTGGACGATATGAATGACAAGCTCGTGGAAACTGTCTATGTGGTCGGAGCTGAGTTTTGTAAGATCCGCAGAAGAACACAAAAACTCTCCGATAACACTCTTAATCTCATGGCTGTTAGACGGGATATGAAGCTGCAGTCTTCAGTAGATTTGATAGCATACAGGCAACTGAACAGACAGATCTCCAAATGCATGCGGCGGGACTTACCCAACTTTAATACTGCTCGTATTGAAGAAGTAATAGAGCGGAACAAGGGCTCCAAAGTCTTTGCTAGAGATCTGTCTGCCGGAAAGAGCTAACTGTCGAAGCTGAAGACCAAGTGTGGCAGCGTCGTTTCCGGGACACCTGAGAATTTTCATGAGATTGAGAGGTTATATGGGCAGCTGTACATATCATTGTTGGAGCCACACTCAGGTGTGAGAAACGATCCAAGAGCGAGTCTTAACCGACACTATTCCGATGATATCCCGAACGTCAGTCTGAGCGAGATTAGAATGGCTCTCCAGCTCCTTAAAAACGGCAATGCCCCAGGCGAGGATAAAATTACAGTGGAGCTTCTGAAAGCGGGTGGAAAACCGGTACTTGAAGTCCTTTAGAAGCTCTTTAATTCCGTCCTCCATGGTGGCAATACACCGGAGGCGTGGAGCAGAAGTTCGGTGATTTTGTTCTTCAAGAATGGTGACAATGCTCTCTTGGAGAACTATAGATTGATTTCCCTTCTGAGCCGCGTCTACGTGCTGTTTTCGAGAGTCATTACGAATCGTTTCGCGCGCAGATTTGACGACATCCAGCCTCCCGAATAAGCCGGTTTCCAAAAGGCACCATAGACCACATATATACCCTTCGGAAAAGTGTACAGAAGTCCGAGGTGTACAATTTGCCACTATGTCTGGCGTATGTGGACTATGAGAAAGCCTTTGATTCCATCGAAATTTGGGCGGTGCTGCAGTCCCTTCAGCGATGCCAAGTTGACTGTAGGTATATCGAAGTGCTGAAGTGCTTGTACAGTAGGGCTACGATGGCTATCCGGGTACAGAACCGAGAGGTGACCTTATATCCCCGAAACTCTTCACCGCTGCATTTGAAGACGTTTTCAAGCTTCTGGACTGGAAAGGATACGGTATTAACATCAATGGCGAGTACATTACTCACCTTCAATTTGCCGACGATATAGTCCGTATGGCAAAATTGCTGTAGGACCTAAGCACTATGCTCAATGACCTCAATAGTGTCTCCCAACGGATAGGTCTTAAGATGAACATGGACAAAACAAAGATCATGTTTAATGTCCATGTCACACCTATGCCGGTAGTTGTTGGGAGCACTCAGCTCGAAATTGTTGACGAGTATGTTTACCTGGAACAAATAGTCCAACTAGGTAAGTCCAACTTCGTCCGAGACTTCAATCGACGGATTCAACTCGGTTGGGCAGCGTTCAGGAAATGACGGCAAATCTTCTCGTCCGGTATATCTCAAAACTTGAAAACGACGAAATAGGGAGAGGGCTATGCTTGGAGTTTCTCTGCGTGATAAACTTAGAAATGAGGATATCCGCAGTAGAACCAGAGCAACCGACATAGCCCAACGGATTAGTAAGCTTAAGTGGCAATCGGCTGGCCATATAGCTCGAAGAACCGACAATTGATTGGGAAAAATGGTTCTCGAGTGGCGGCCTCGTACCCGCGGACGAAGTGTAGGCCGTTCCCCTACTAGATGGAGTGACGACCTGGTAAGACATGCAGGAAGTCGATGGATGCAGGTGGCTCAGGACCGTGCTTTGTGGCTCTCCTTGGGGGAGGCCTATGTTCAGCAGTGGACTTCTGAAGGGCTGTAATGATGATGATGATGATTTTTCCTATCTTACAGCCTATAATTAAATAAATATTGAAATCCCAAATGTCCGTTGACGCAATTGGTTACTTAATAGGAATGAGCTGACTCCTGAAATACAGGAGTAGCCTAGTTAGGGTTAGTTGGTTAGTATTCATAGATGTTGTTATAGAATACAAGTGTCAAAAAAATATATGTGTGCTGGTTCCATACGCAACCATTTTATTCTAAAAGAGTGCGGTGCTTCCCCGGTTGTGCTGTTTCATTGGTGTTGCAGTCATAATCTAGCTGCGGAGTATTTCTGGCACGTAGAAATATCTAGAAAAGTTGTTTTTAGGAGAATATTTCGAGTACATAGATGTAATTTGTCAATCCTATCATATATATTTTATAAGAGATGGCACTGTCAATTTGGCCTTCTCTACCAAGTGATAACGAAACTGCACGGCACTTGATATGTCGACGCCGAGGATTACGATACTGGCTGATGCAACAAAGGGAGTGCCTTGAAACTGAGGGGATACGACAAAAGGGTTCTTTTTAGCGGTAAACGCGCCAACTTGTGTCTTCAGAGGATTAAACTGGACTAGATTTAGTCGCCCCTAATCCGAGACTTTGTTCAGTAAAGACTCGACTTCAGACACAAGTTTGTTCCGGTACTCGGCGACGTTTTCCCGAGAAATATTGGCACTGCCGGTGTATAGAGCATCACCGTTACCGTCATCCGCTTAGCAATGAATGTTACCGGTTTGCAACATATCGTTGATATGCAGAAGAAACAGTGTTGGTGATAGCACGCAACCTTGTGGAACACCAGCGTTAATAGGCTTCTAATTGGAGCATGCACCGTCTACAACGACCTTGATGCTCCAATCTGCAAGAAAGCTGGTGATCCAATCGCACAATTCGTAGGGAAGTCCATAGGAAGGAAGCTTCGAAATAAATGCTTTGTGCCAAATCGATCGAAGGCCTTCGCAATGTCCAAACTAGCGGCCAATGCTTGCCCCTTAGACAACACAGCCTCCACCCATCTATGAGACCAGAAGATCACCAGCTGCTTGACCCCGACGAAAACCGTATTAGTAGTCAATTATCAGCGGGTGATAATCAAGGTCGATACTGACGGCTCCGTGGCGCAGTGGCTTAGCAATGAGTTGCTGCGCTGGGGGGCGCGGGTTCGAATCCCGCACGAAACAAGTATTTGTATGGCCTACAAATGATTGTTCCGGGTCTGGATGTTTATCCTTGTAAAATTTGTGTTTGTAAACTGCCTCCACGATACAGGAGAAAATCCTAGTGTGAGGGTAACGTTTTAAAAAAAAGGTACCCCATACACGTATATAATGGATTCCATTATTTTGGAGAACAAGGAGGTGATGGCGATAGGCCTGTAGTTAGACGGGTCTGAGGGGTAGCCTTTTTTAGGAATCGGGTTGACTACAGCTGTTTTCCATGTTTTCTGGACTATGCCTAGGTAGTAGGAGTACCGGGAAAGACGCGTCAGAACCGGTGTTAACTCTGAAGCACACAACTTCAGCACAATTGGAGGGATCCCGTCAGGCCAAAACGACTTGTGGATGTCCAGGGAGAGGAGTCCTTTGCGAATCGAGCGCTGTGTGAATCGCACATCCGGTATGGAGCACTGACTTCGCGGAATGGTCGGCGGTGTGTTCCCCCCGTCATGGATAGTCAAGTTGGAAGCAAATAAATAGCCTAGCAGAACGGCTTTCTCCTTTGCGGCATGGGCCAGTGAGTTGGACTTTCTGTGCAGAGATGGAAGAGATGAGTGACAGAAGTTCCATTAAACAGCCTCGGCGAGAGACCAGACTGCACGGGTTCCCGAAGGAAGAGAACTAGTTTCTCGTCAATTCAAAATATCTTCAATAATTTCTAATGGCATTTAGCGAACTGCGGGCCATACGGTAAAATACTCGAATACGTGTGAAGTCACAGAGTAATGCGCGTTTGAGAGCCCGCTCCTCCAACAGTCACACAAAATAATCACTTAGCACGTAATCTTACTGTAGCATGTATAAAGTTGACAAATATCAGCTTCTCCAATGAGACAACCCAAAAATATAGACTATGTTTCGGCAACATCAATTGGTTTAATTTTAAGTAAATCTTTTTCAGAACGTATAAAACAGGTGTATTATTCCCGAACAAGGATGTTTCCGTGTATGACCCAGATGAATTTATATATCCATGTTGTCTGATTAATCTCTTGCTCAACGAAATAGCGTTTTAATATTTAGAGTTAGATGCTCGTTGCTGTAGATCTTGTGAGGCGGTACTTCAATTTTTAGTTGTTCCGATATAATATTTTTCTAAAGACGTGCTGCAGATATAAAATTATCATGCAATATTTGACTCGAGAATTTAATAATTATATTCTTCGTTTTGGTACCACAGACAAAATGTACCACAAAATGCCGCCAGTATTTCAATTTGAAGACTACGCGCAGTGTATGAGTAAACCGGACGGCGTGTACTGCATGACGAAATTCGCCCTTGTTTCAGACACTAACAGTGAACTTTTATATATGATTCAAGTGAGTATTTTACAACTACCTTAATATGTGTGATTTTGTGAATTATACGTATATGCTTTATTTACACCACAGAACACAAAAAACATTACAGCGATCTTTTAAAGGTCGAATTCTAAAAAAGAATGTAAAATAATTAAGGAATCTTTAAAAATTATGCCATCAAGTCATTTATTATAGGTTGGAACTACTTACAAGGATTAATCTTATGTCCTTTGTCACTTACTCCTTTCATCAATGCCAGGTCAACATTAATGACAGATACGGTCAGAGCGGTATGCAAATTCATTTTAATAAAACAAAATGCATGCATATACACTCTCCATATAATGCTGCAGCGAAAAACACCACATTGAATGAGATGGCTATTGTGGGCCACTGTTTTGAGTGCTTACATAATAATAAAATTAATTGCAAATTAACTGCCCGTGGGGTCCACGTGCGGTGAGGGTCCTAAAGGAACTCCATCCGCGTCTGGTCGTTGGTGCTGGTGATAAGAGGGCTGGTTCTTTTCTCGCTCAAAGGCTAAGTATAGCCATTCAGCGGGGAAACGCAGCCAGCGTTCTTGGCACGATACCGCGGGGAGTAGGACTATATTATGATAAATAAGTTTCTAGTTTTAGTTTTTTATTATTATTATAGTTTTTAATATTGTACCTTTAAATAATTTGTTATTTAAATAAGACATTGTAAATGTAAAGAAATAGAATTTGTCGATAAGTTTAAGTATTTAGGACTGGTTATTGATCAAAACTTTAATTGGAAACCTCAAATATCTGATGTATGTACAAGGCTGTCGGTGATAATAGGTAAATTTTATTATTTAAACTACATTTTGAACACAAAATCTATGTATCTTCTATACTTTGTTTTGGTATATTCCCTCGTAGGTTATGGACTTAGTGTACGGTCGCACTTTTGCTTTTTATATAAAGAATATTAAAAATTTACAGACAAGATTTCTAAAATATCTTGTAAATGAAAGAGTTAAAGAAAATTGTAAGAAAGATTATAATTCATTAAGGTTACGCTTTTCAAAGCATATTGTCAGTCCTTCTATACATGCAGCCTGTTACCGGGAATCGAACCCGGAACCTTAGGATATTAATTTGAAATTTCTTTAAAATTTTACGTGTGTATTCTTATAAGATAATTATTCCTTGATAATTAATCTTTAGAAGCTATCCGTAATTGGTAAAGAAATAAATTGAAATATTATTTATAGACGCGTCGCCAACACCAACATAGCTTTTAATATCCATACTTCGTCGAATATCGTCAGTAACTTTAACAATTTCTGAAGTCGTATCCGACAAAAAACAGATTTAAGAGAATTCAAAAGGCAATTTATAGTTACTTGAGTGCTTAGTGATCTTGACAAAAACGAGAGAGATGGAAATAGAACAAAAATCAGTAAAATGCAAATATTTACTGTTTAGAAAATTTTAATACCTCAAAAATATATAGTTATAAATTTTGTAATGTTTACTACAACAAGTTACGATGATTATCCGATGGCCACAAAACCCCAATATGAAACAGTTTTTTATACAAAACATTTATTCATATTTCAAGCAAATGGGATCAACGTTCTTCATGCTTTATGCATATAGATGACACATAACATTTATCGTTATTAGTTTCGATAGGATGACCATACAATTAAATCAAGTTCAAGCAGAAAAATGATATAGTTACCATTAAGAAATAAATGAAAAGATTAAACTTAAAAGGCAAAAAGGGATGAGATGACAAAGATGATACTACTACAATTTTCGATTTGAGAAGAGTTTCGAATATACCACAATTTAATATGGTTATCTTATGAAAATCGAAACCAGGCACAACGAAAACGAAGGCAATTCCATGGGTCTGTAAAAAAAGAAACATTAAAAATAAGTTAATTAAAGTTAACTATCTGAACAAATGTACATTATTTTGAATTTTATATCAGTAATAAATATAAAGTCCTGGTCAAGCCCCGACGGTTCGACAAAAAATGAGATTGACTTGATTATGACGACCAGACGACAACTGTTAAGTGATGTCTCAGTGATCGCGAGGGTGAAAACCGGCAGCGATCACCGAATGATGAGAGGCACACTAAACCTAAAAGTTAAGTTGGAGAGATCACGTCTAATGTAGTCAACGCTCCGTCTCCCTCGTGCTCTAATCCAAAGTCCCGAAACCTTTCAGCTCGAGCTACAAAACCGTTTTCAGTGCCTAGAAAATTGCAATGCAGTGGACGATATGAATGACAAGCTCGTGGAAACTGTCCATGTGGCCGGAGCTGAGTTTTGCAAGACCCGCAGGAGAACACAAAAACTCTCCTAACACTCTTAATCTCATCGCTGTTAGACGTGATATGAAGCCGCAGTCTTCAGTAGATTTGACAGCATACAGGCAACTGAACAGACAGATCTCCAAATGCATGCGACGGGACTTACGCAACTTTAATACTCAATACGAGATTGAAGAAGCAATCGAGCGGAACCAGGGCTCCAAAGTCTTTGGTATTACACCAGAGGCGTGGAGGAGAAGTGCGGTGGTCTTGTTGTTCAAGAAAGGCAACAATGCTCTTTTGAAAAACTACAGACAGATTTCCCTTCTGAGCCGCGTCTACGTGCTTTTTTCGAGAGTCATTAAGAATCGTCTCGCATGCAGACTCGACGACTTGCAGCCTCCCGAACAAGCCGGTTTCCGAAAAGGCTTTAGCACCGTAGACCACATACATACCCTTCGGCAAATTGTACAGAAGTCCGAGGAGTACAATTTTGCCACCATGTCTGACATATGTGGACTATGTGAAAGCCTTTGATTCCGTCGAAATTTGGGCGGTGCTGCAGTCCCTTCAGCGTTGCCAAGTTGACTGTCGGTATATCAAAGTACTGAAGTGCTTGTACAGTACGGTCACGATGGTTATCCGAGTACAGAACCAGATAACTAAACCTATCCAATTGCAGAGAGGTGTAAGATAGGGTGACGATATATCCCCGAAACTCTTTACCACTGCATTGAAAGACGTTTTCAAGCTTGGAAAGGATACGGTATTAACATCAATGGCGAGTACACCACTCACCTTCGATTTGCCGACTATATAGTCCGTATGGCAGAATCGCTGGAGGACCTAAGCACTATGCTCAATGACCTCAATAGTGTCTCCCAACGGATAGGTCTTAAGATGAATATAGACAAAACACAGATCATGTTTAATGTCCATGTCACACATATGCCGGCATTTTGTTGGGAGTATTAAGCTCAAAGTTGTTGACGAGTAAGTTTACCTGAGACAAATAGTCCGACTACGTAAGTTCAACTTCGAACGAGAGGTCAATCGATTCGAATTCAACTAGGTTGGGCAGTGTTCGTGAAGTTACGGCACATCTTCTCATCAGGTATACCTCAAAACTTAAAAAAGAGACTGTACAACCAGTGCGTGTTGCTAGTGATGACCTATGGAACTGAAACATATTCTTTCACTGCTGGCCGGATGAGGAAGCTCAAGGTCGCTCAGCGAGCTATGGAGAGGGCTATGCTCAGAGTTTCTCTGCATGATAAACTTAGAAACGAGGATATCCGCAGTATAACCAGAGTGACCGACATAACCCAACGGTGAACGACATAACCAAACGTAAGGTGAAGTGGCAATGGGCCGGCCATATAGCTCTAAGAACCAACAACCGATGTGGGAAAAAGTGGCGGCCTCGTACCAGCGGACGAAGTGTAGGGCGTCTCCCCACTAGATGGAGTGGCGATCGTCAGGACCGTGCTTTGTGGCGTTCCTTGGGGAAGGCCTATGTTCAGCAGTGGAATTGCGAAGGGCTGAAATGATCATGATGATGAAAAATATTGATCAACTTGTTTGTGAAACAATATGCGACCGTAATAAATTCACACAAACGAGGTCGAGGGGTACAGCTAGTCTAATATATGAGTGATATCTAATATATTAAAGTAACAGTTTATTGTATACAGCCTCATTTATTAACATATAGTTGTGAATAGGATTTCCAGGCATTCGGATAAAGGCGAACATAATTAGGCTTTTTGAATGTGTGTCCGTCCATATTTGGCGATGTTCGACTTTTTACCAGTCAGCAGTCACGCGTTCGATTGGATTAACTAGCCGCTGCGCTGACGTTTTTTCGAGTCCCGTTAAAACCCACACGTTTTGTTTTGTTTCATTTTGTTTTTTAATGCCTTATTATTAAGACTCATTGATTAAAGTTAGTTGCTTATGTTTTTTCATAAGAAGATCAGATGATTGAAAGATAAGGATCAAAAAAGTTTGAATTTACATAAATCATTAACAAATTAAGGTGTCCGGCCCTTTTATCCAATTTTACACAAAAGTCCTGCTTAACTAGCTAATCTGGTCCGATTTTTGGTTTTAAGACCTGGACACCCTAGTTTTGAAAATCTTGAGAGTAACTTAGTAAGACGTTAGTTTAATATGACTGTAATGATTTCTTGCGAGTGCTGGATTAAGCTATTTAACTTATTTTAACTTTTTCACTGTACACTGCCATGAAAACCTATATGTAATACACGGGACAGAGTAAGGGTTAATTCCTGACTTTTAGGGTATTCTTTAGCATTTGTGGATACGGGGGGGGGGGGGGGGGGTTGGACTGAGATGTATTACATTTCAATGTCATAGTTAACATGAGCTGTCTTCAGTTATTGATTATTAAGTTTTGCTCCGATCTACGCTGAATGAATTTGGGAGCTGGATTCCCAAGCAAATAGTAAAGCCATCTTATGTATTGATATTTAGATTTTTCTTTAAAATTTCATTAGCCTCGCTAATCATCTTTGGTCGATTTCGATGTTATTTTGCGAGAATTTCTAGGTTATTAAATCTGAGGTAATGGCGGGGACGATTTCACATGCGTTCAGATAAGTACCTGAATCGTCAGGAATTAAGTAAGAATAACGTTAATTAAACCCGATAAAATCTGTAACATCAGTTTAATATGTTATTATTTCAAACAAAATAACTGCTTGAATAGCAATTTAGCCAAATCTTGAATACTTTAGATCACATAAATTAATTAGCTGGGTTTTCCTGTAAATAATTATAAAGGTTATATAATTACATCGCTTTTTCGCCGTAGCTACGTTCGCTTGGAAATTGGTCCATCGTTCGCATTATATTAGGCATCTTTACTAGTAATTCTATGACAAAATTATCAAAACAGAAATCTTACATATGGGTGTATTAAGAAATATGTAATAAAAAGAGAATCATTTAAATCGGTTCACAATCGAAAAAGATAAATATATCGACGGCTCCGTGGCGCAGTGGCTTAGCAATGAGTTGCAGCGCCGGAGCCGCGGATTCGACTCCCGCACGGAGCAAGCACTTTTATAATCTACAAAAAATTGTTCTGGGTCTGGATGTTTGTCCTTGTGCAATTTATGTCTGTAAACTGCCTCCACGATACAGGAAAAATCCTAGTGGGGGGTTAACTTTTTTTTTTTAAATAAAAAAAATATGCTCCACTCCTGTGAAATGAGATGATAAAATGTATCATAGACTCATTAAAAGTAAAAGAAGTTAACGGCCTATGTACGTCTCACTATACAGGAAATAATTTAGTGCAAACTCTTCTGCCGCACTGGACTTCACATATTGTCCTCAAAACATTTTATAATTTCTAACACGTGTTAGTTTTCACATTACGATTTCATTCACCAAAGCACAAGGAAAACATCGTGAGAAAACTGCGTCTCAGCCAAACGCATGAAGCGATAGTCTTCTAATAGCACAAATATGTAGTCATATATATATATATATATATAAATAATAGCGCGATTTGAGCAATGAAAGTTAACATTTTAAAAGGAATTTATGCAAAAAGTTATTACAAAAAACCATTATACTATTTTTGAACATCCATTAAATTAAACGTTTACCATATTTTAACAGTATTTTCTTAGCAAACTATACATTTTAAAATCCCAATGGGAGAAGCCCCTATGAGCATAGGAATCGTCAACTACTAGTATGGAAATTAACTTTTCAAGAATGGAAATAACCGTTACTTTGAACTGCGAGGTCGGATAAAAATAGCTTATAATGTACTCAGGGTAATAAGCTACTTGTATTCCAAGCCAAATGTCTTCGTGAAGTTGGTAATCCACAGACAGAAGAAGACGAAATACCTAAACACCACTAACTTCGTTTCATTATTCTACATATCGACCCGCGAACTTGTTTATTCCAGTAAATATTAGAATTACCAACCAATGTTTTCTATGGATTTTTTTTTTGATAAAATGTTACTCTCACACTAGAATTTTCTACTTTACCATGTTTTAGTTTTGTATCCTGTATCTGTTTACAAACATAAATTGCATAACGAAAAATATCTAGACCCGGAACAATTATTTGTAGGCCATACAAATACTATCATCATCATCATCATCAGGGCGTCATTGTAGAAGCGTGCTCGTCGCGACCCCTGTCAGCCCTTTTCAGGGCTGCAATTCTACTCAGCTGCGCACCCATGCCAACGAGGGTTAGGGCGTCCCCCCAAGGCGACGCACACCAGCTCGTCCCCGTTGGTGTGGAATGCAGCGCGCAAAGCGGCGATGGGGACCGCCACCCGTCACGCACAGCCCGACACGGCGGAAGGTGGAGGAAAGAGTGCAGAGTTGGCACGTGGAATGTTAGAGGAGGCATGAGGGATAAGATGAATGAGTTGATCGAAATAATGATAATAATAATAGATGTCGTGTGTATGTCGGAGACCAAGCGGAAAGGCAGTGGTACTGAAGAGCTCCCTGGCGGGGCGTTAGCTCTATGGTCCGGAGTCCCGGAGAGCGAGAACGCCTGCCAAGGAGTGGGGGTGCTGCTGTCTTCTCGGTTGGTCGATGTTATGACTGAATATAAGGTTGTGAACTCAAGACTTCTCTGGGTTCGCTTTAAATTGGGACTGACGAAGTTATTCCTTTTGGCTGTTTATGCGCCGGTAGCTTCGTCGTCCAGGGCTGAGCTGGAGGAGTTTTGGGAGAATGTAAGAGAAGTTCTAGATTTGGCTAGGGGAAACGAAAGAATTGTTGTATGTGGTGATTTGAATGGATGGGTTGGTACCGCTTGACCAGGGTACGAGTCGGTACTTGGAAAGTTTGGCGATAAAAGGGTTAATGATGCTGGCAAGCTTATACTGGCGGTGTGCAAGGAAAAGGGTCTTCTTGTGACAAACACTATGTTTAATCACAAGAAAATCCATATGTACACTAGAGAACGAAAGAATGAGAGAAGTATGATCGATTTGTTCCTGGTGGATGACCGACTGCGAAAACAGGTGATGGATACGCGAGTGTTCAGGGGTGCTGACCTGGGAACGGATCACTATCTAGTGATTACTAGATTTAGGGGTCTGTTCGCGAGTTGGCGCTACCGGACGGCAGTAACAGAACCACAGTCGGTCTGTCGCATCCGAAGCTGGAAGCTTCAGGAAGCGGATACTAGGGACAAATATCATGCGAGGGTAGCCGAAAAGCTTGACACCATCGATGGCAGAAAAGAATGTGTAGAAAGAACTTGGTAGAACCTTAGGGATGGAATGGTAAGTGCAGCGGAAGAAGTGTGTGGAACAATAAAAAGAGGCAGTAGTAAAAGAAGAGATGCATGGTGGAATGATGAAGTGAAAGAAGCTGTAAAGAAGAAGAAGAAAGCATGGTTAGACTACTTGGCCTCTAGTAATGATAAGGATATGAGAGAGAAGATGAAAGAAAGATATAGGCTGCAGAAAGTTCACACGAAAGCACTGATTGAGGAAGTGCGTGAAAGGTGTAGAATGGAAGCGGACGAAAGGTTGTCGCACAACTTTAAGGAGAACTCCAAACTCTTCTGGAAAGAGGTTGGAAGGACCCGAAGTGGTGCGACGGCCTTAAGAATGAACAAAGTGCTTTCGAGAACTAATGACGTCCTCTCAGAAAAATCGGACGTGATGCAGCGATGGAGCGAATTTTATAGAGAAATGTATGCGTGTGATGATCTTAGTGAGGGATCCGGGGATGACGCCGTGACTGGTACGCCAGACCCGGACCTCGATGACACTGAGATCATCAGTATGAAAGAGATTGAACGTGCGATTCGAAGTTTGAAATGTGGTAAGGCTGCGGGACTAGACAGAGTTACTGCTGAAATGGTCAAGTATGATGGGCCTCGCGTCTGGGACAGCTTTCATCTGCTGTGCAATTTGTGCTGGCGGACGGGGGATGTCCCGGATGATTGGCGATCCGCAGTCATTGTGCCTTTATATAAAGGTAAAGGTTCACATTTTGACTGCGGGTGCTATCGGGCGATCAGCTTGACCAGTTTAGCAAGTAAAGTTTACTCGAAGGTTTTAACACGTAGGATGCAAGAGAAATCGGAAAGATTTCTATGGGAGGCACAATGCGGATTTAGACCTGGAAGAGGATGCACGGATCAAATGTTTTCTCTCCGCATGATCACGGAAAAGCTTCTGGCTGCTAACCAGAAGATTTTCTGTGCTTTTGTGGATCTTGAGAAAGCATTTGATAAGGTTGTAAGGAAGAAAATGTGGGAACTGTTGCCGGGGTATGGTGTGGATGGTCGATTGCTAAGGGCTGTGCAGTCTCTTTACTGTGACTGTAAAGCCTGTGTGCGGGTAGGGCATGACCTGTCACCCATGTTTAACGTCCAAACGGGCGTAAAGCAGGGTTGTGTCATGTCTTCCTGGCTGTTCATACTGTATCTCGACAGCTGTTTACAGAAGCTGAAAGATAGCTGTTTGGGTGTGAAATTGGGTGACATAAAAGTAAATTGTCTGCTGTATGCTGATGATGCAGTGCTTATTGCACCATCAGAGGCAGAACTGCAGGCATTAGTCACGTGTATGAAAGAGGAATGTGAAATTAAAGGTCTCCGTTTGAATGCTAATAATATTAAAGTTCTGGTATTTGAAAGGGACGAAGAGAGAACGAAGTGTGAAATATGGGTAAATCAGGAATGTCTAGAACAGGTAAATGAAATTGTATACTTGGGAAGTGCTTTTAGCCGGGATGGAAGATGTGATTTAGATATGGACAGGCGTGTCGCTGCCGGGAACAAAGTCAATGGTGCCCTGACTGCGTTAGTCAAAAGGCAAGGCGTATCGAAGAGTGCACGCCTTGCAATACATAACGCAGTGTTGGTACCGACTTTGTTATATGGCAGCGAAACCTGGGTATGCCAGAATAAGCATAAAAGTAAGTTGAATGCAGTGGAGATGCGATCTCTTCGTAAAATGTGCGGCGTTACCTTGGCCGACCGAAAGCGAAACGAATAGATTCGCAATATGGCAGGTTTGAAAGATGACCTTATCACAAAAATTGATAAGGGCGTGCTTCGGTGGTTTGGGCACGTTGAGCGAATGAGTGAAGACCGAATGGTGAAGAAAATATATAGCGCGAAAGTTAATATTAAAAGGTGTCGAGGTAGACCGAGACTAACTTTCGAAGACCATGTGAGCAAATTGCTCGAAGAGGGTAGGGTCAAGAGTACTCGGATACCTAGTCGTGCTTGCATGAAGAAGATAATGAATCTGAAAGAAGCGAAAGAGGTTTGTAAGGATCGTGACACTTGGCGATCTGTTCTCTCTGGCTACCCCGTCAGGGATTGTGCGTGAAGATAAGTAAGTAAGTAAGTATACAAATACTACTTCCGTGTACACGTGGAACATTCATTATTGGAACGAAGTTGTACAGCCTCGTTTTCAAGTTGAGCCGACCCATTCGTGCAACAACTATACTATTATTATAGTTGCAGCATGGCTCTACCACGTATAAAATCCTAATTTCAATAGAGAAGATGGATGGGTGCCACCATCTACTTGGGATCCTGTAATTAAGATTTTAAGATACTGTAAGAACGTTCGGCGTAGGTAGGAAAAAATTGGGCTCTTAAACACCGCAGTCTCCCCCGTGACTCTGGATGCTGTAAATCGGGGCCACGTTGGGAACAAAAAAAAAAATAAAAAAATCTGATCACATTGCAGGGTTAAAATATAAATTAAAATAAACCTAAAAAAAAACCCAGAAAAGTCGTCTATCGTCCGTTTGAAGAGGATCTACAAACCGAAAATGGTTAACATAAAAAATTTATTGTTTTTAGTCACATAACGAAACGGCAGTAAAAATTCGTATAACTTTGATTTATGGTTTTTATGAATGCAAAAATATTAACATTCTCATAAATGTTTTTTTAAGGTGTTCGAAGTCTAACAAACAAAACGGGTCATTATGTTCTAATTGTATTTTGTTTTTTGTTGGTAGCAATAAAAATTTTACCGCAAAAAAACACTGACGTACATAACACAATTATATTTTAGCGATTATAAAATTTGTTGTTCGTGTCTATTTCGGTTTTTATTTTATTTTTTCAATTAGCGTCTCATATTTTCTCATACGTGAGTGCAAAAGTTGTATTACAATCTATACCTACATATAAAAACATACGTGAGTGTCGTGGATTACTCGGTTGGAACGAAGTTTAATATAGCGAGAATAGAATGGCTCTCCAGCATCTTAAAAACGGCAAGGCCCCCGGCGAGGATGGAATTACAGCGGAGCTTCTGAAAGCGGGTGGAAACCGGTACTTGAAGTCCTTCAGAAGCAAATCTTTAACATATATTAACATTCATTGAATACTATTATTTACATACATTTGCAATTTATAAGCACAAAAGTTCTTTGAAGTCGTAACAAATATGAATAGGATTCAGATTTGAATCTTAAATTGATCAGTGCAGTTAAACTGTGAAATACTGTAAAATATTTTAGTGGTAAAAAATATTTTTATGCGATAAATTAGTCGTAACTTGTAGATATTTGGATTTTCATTCACAATAATTATTGTGAGTGCCACTGACACATCCTAATTACATGAAATTTATCCACTGCGCGGATATTGCACACATTACACACGATTTTTTTTAATAGGAGAGGCAGCAAACGAGCATGCGGCTCACCTGATGGTAAGTGACTACCGCCGCCCATGAACAACCGCAACACCAGGGGAATTGCAGATGCGTTGCCGGCTTTTTAAAATGTAAAAATTAAATTAAATTAATTGATTAATTTAATTAATTAATTGATTCACTTGCAATGCAATTTAGCCAGTTTTCATTGATCTTTTGTTCTTTAGTCTTTTTAGGTTTATTTTAAGGTTTAATTTTAATTAATTTAGTAGGAATCAGTGTTCTTTTGCGAGGATTTGTGGTCTCTCTAATCTAATGAAATGGCAAACATGTTCACAGACATGCCGGAGCATTGGTGCTTCACGTCAGCTATTATGTTCTTTTACGCTGGTTTTATATATTTTTGTTTATCTTACAAGAGAGACCGCATTCACAATGAAGTGTGTACGATCCTGCATCTTGTAGATGGATATTACACTTGACGAATCATAAAAATTGACTAACCTTCTTCGATGGCTTGTAGTACGTTATAATGGAAGCTCGCTTCAATCATGGGTGCGGTAAATAAAATCAAAATATTACAGAAAAACATGCTTTCGTCGATATACAATCAAACTCATAATTTTTTTTAAATAATAAAATAATCTTTTTTAATTTAAAAAAAACGTTACCTTCACACTTGGATTATCTCCTGTGTCGTGGAGGCAGTTTACAAACATAAATTACACAGGCAGAAACATCATACTCAAAACAAATATTTGGCCTTACTAATACTTGTTCCGTGCGGGATTCGGACCTATCCTACTGCGGCATGGAGCCGTCCTATGTAGCATGGAGCGTCCTATGTAGTAATTTCTGATGATGAAGTTTCTAGATAGGTTTTTTCCTGAGAAACTTATTTTTTTCCTTAACTCCGAGCAAACTTCGGTCGCATGTACTTTATAAATAAAGCCATATAAAATTGCAAGGGGTTTAAATACTGTAATTTAAAACTGATAATAAAACTAAAGTACCGTATATAAGACTGAAAGTAAACTTGTGTTAAAACTTAAATAACTGTTCTTGTTACACAAGGAACCAATGTTCGAAAAATGGCTTAAATAGCTTAGCACAATCTCGTCTAGTTCTCGTTTAGAGACGTTACCTAAGTTGAAGAATTTGTTGTATCATCATAGGCATAGGCTTCTTATAGGCAAGTACTTCGGCTATGCGTATACTGTTTCTGCAAGCCAACTTACGCAGGTTGTCGCTCCATCTAGTCAGGGAGACGTTTTAAACTACGTTTGCCTGAACGCGATGTTCACTCTATAACACGTCTCCTTCACCGGTTGTCACTTCTGTAACAGACTGGACCAATTTGGGGTATGGTTAATATTAAAGAGAATTTGTGGTAGGATTTGACAGTAATCATAAAGTTATAGTTCCAAAGCAACAGTAAGAGAAACAGCACATATATTAACAAGAACACGTAGCACAAGGAGTTGTTAGATTATAGACTTATTTTGAAGCAGAGATCTGGAACTTTTATTTGAAAGGAAAAAGATAACCCATTCCTATTAGATCCTTGACAATTGTAGTAAAATCCTAGTCATCATCCTCCTTACATTTATACTTACGGACACATTAAAATTACAAACTCTTACAGTAGCGATCAAACTAGGCAAACAGTACTTGAGTTCTGATAAGAATCCTTATTCTAATAAAGTCGAATCTTACGACATTAATCGTACAAAAGATGGATAATCAGCTTTTTTTTGGTTCCAAACACCACAGCCTTTGTTATAATTTTTTTTTCTTTCAAATGAATAAGAATGGGTGTTACATACGGGTACATAGTGAAAAGTTATTATTAGGGTTGTGAAAGGTAAAAATGCTTAGAATTAATGTAAAATTTCAAAATCAGCATACTGAGTTAGAATTTTAAGCAGCATTAGTTCCGGAGATCGTTGATTAAGGCGTTATATATTATATTTAAACAGAAAGAAAATTTAAAGGAATTATTTATAGGTATAGCATGAATGGGAAATTATGAACTGGCAGCCTTGAACTTGAGGTACCTTGAGGACTATTGGCTGACTAGAGAAAGCAAAAATGGTTTTCGTCGTGTTCGATGAGCTCGTATTATCCTGGTTCATTTAACTCATCGATTGATGGAGGCAGTAGAGTCTACTATTTTACATATGTTCTCTAAATATTTTATGTCTCAGACACGCAAGTTTGCTTACGATGACCGTACTAGAGTATTATTATAATATGTTTAGATACCAGTGTATGATGTATGTATTACAATCAGTACTCTTTACCGGTCAAAACTAGTTTTGAAACCTGTACTTAAAAGTACTTTGTTATCAACCAAACCCGATTTCAGGACAAATTAGTTTTTCTAAAGCCCGTCAAGATCAATTAGATTGCCGCGGCATCACTGATAATATCAGTATATCTGCAAAAATAAATTCAGGTGCAGTAGGTTTCGGATGTCACCCCAACGTACTCAACATACTTGATGTTTGTGTAATACTATACGATAGTATAATAGCATACTTTTATAACAAATGTGTATTGAAAGTATTTTCAAATATGAGGGAGCTCTACGTATAGGTATATTATATCCCATATTTTCCCATAACGAATGAATTTTTAAGTTTTACAGAGCAATGCTAAAAAGCGTCTCCTACTTCAGTTTCCCTTTGTCGCTTCTTACGATATTTTTACGGTATGGGGTGTTGGATTTAGTTACGCCGCCACTAACAAGCACGTTTACTAAGTATATCATCTATTACGTGGCACTAAATCTATGTAATAGAGAATATTTATAATGAATATGCTGCATTATAATATTTTTTCATTTCTTTCAGAACTTCTCTGAACACCGAATCAGACACTACAACCATTCAAAACTGCATTACGGAGTATGTCTTACAAAAACATGCGCGGAATATTATTATGATGGAGATAAAAAACGGGACACAAGAGTAGCCCTTGAGGGATGCCTAAACAATACGTTCTGGAAAAAATATAAGTTGAAAACGAAAGTATTGGAAGTCGTGGATTACAACAATGAAGATAATAAATTAAATATAGGATATGGGGACTGTGCAATAGCTATTCTTTGTTTTGCTCTGTTGACGTTGAATCTTATTGGGAGCATTTACGATATATTCTATATACAAAAAAGAGAAAAACAGGGTAACTATTTTAGAATCAATCATTTCTATAGCATCGCAATTTTATTTATTAATATATAAAAGTACTTACATTGAGCCTATATTTTTCTACACTACATGATAAAAATTCACACTAGTAACATTTTTATTGTTTCTAGCTTTTAATTCATAATGTCATAAATGATTAAGAGCAAGCTTTATTGAATATTACTAATAAGCAGTTCGCCAGTATCTGCAAATGAATATTAGTTCAATAAAGGCTTTTTTTTCAAAGATACTAAACGGAATAGTTCACAGAAAGCAGGATTTTGTGAAAATTACAGTCATACGGGCCACCATATGCAGTCGAAGTACATGCAAGTTTATTTATTTATCATACGAAGAACAAAAAGTTAACAATCAAAATAAAATTTATATATAATAACATAACATTTAACAGTTAATGGCGTGAAGTAGACTCTGCGGTGGCTGGCCGCTAAGACCTTAGCGGCCAGCCTCCACAGAGTCTACTTCACCCCATTAACTGAGGATGCCTCGTGTAGAGACGAAACACGTGTCGTATTTTCGAGAGTGGTGTGTCGTGCCTAGTGTGCTGGTACTGCGAGTGGTAGTGCTGGGACTAACGGCGACGTGTATAGTGCGCGCGTTTGAGAGAGGGTGGGAGGTCTCCTTAAAACTGGGCAGGACACATCATTTTCTTTCTTTACGCGGAATTATGCAAATTAGTTTATAACAACCCCATTATAATGGATTTCCGCAAAGTAACGCCTGATTCTATCAATTATTTAACAGTTATATATATATATAACAGTTTTGTGCCAGATTGTTATCATACTGTGTTAGAATTATTTCGATTATGTAAAATCTGTTATTTATAACTTTTTTTATAGGATAAGGGTGACAAACGAGCACACAGTCCACCTAATGGTAAGTGGTGCCGTGACCCATAGACATTTACATTTATTCTCAATAAAGAATCAAATTGCAGATGCGTCGTCACCCGTGAGGACTAAGATGGAATGCTTCTTTTCCAGTAAAAAGGGTCTCCGGTTCTCTACACTCATACGAAACACAGCAGTGTTAAGCTGCCATTTTACGCTGGTATTCTGTGAGAGCGTGGTCCTACCCCGGTCGAGCCGACCCATTCGTGCTGCAACCACAATATAGCTACATCATGGCTCTACCACGTATAAAAAAAATAATTTATTTTTAATTATTCTAATTCCTGATGTATTGGTTGTTTTATTCATTAACACGATTTTATTAGCTTGGCATGTATCTATGTAACGGAATTTTTGAATGTGATTTTCATCCCCTTCAAAACGTCGGATTGATTTGAAACTTCGCACACTTGGCAAGGACCGATAACAATGCAATGATTTAAATAGTTTGTCCCATTATTCTTCCCAGGATCCTTAGTATTTGCGAATAATTCATAAAACAACTAGGATTTCTACTAGTTAATTCTATTGTAAGCCGCGTAAAAAATTTTTGTTCTATAAAAAAAACACGCTTTTGTAGCTAAAAAATAGAAACTAAATAGTAGTTTAAAAAAATTAAAAACTTAAAGTTTAAAAAAGCTAAAAAAACATGATTTTGTAGATAACCGAACTAAAAAGTAAAAAAAAAATTTCAATATGTTTAAAATAAGAAAATAGTGATTAGCATAAAAAAATATTTTTATTGTAAAAAAGCGTGGGGTGCTTGATGTCATTTGCTGTAAAGTCAATTTAAATGTCAATTTGTTGTTTTGTGAATATTTGTAAAATAAGCGTCATCATAAAAATATCTGAAAGAGCACCCCACGCTTTTTTAAATAAAATATTCTTTTATGTTAATCACTGTTTTCGTATTTTAAAGTATGTAATTGAAAATTATTTTCTACTTTTTAGTTCGGTCATCTACAAAAGCATGTTTTTTTTTTTAGCTTTTTTAAACTATTATTTATTTTTTAATATAAGATAACCATTCTGTGAATAACTGTGATGGTTCTGGATGGTAAATTAATCTTTTCATGAAGTCGGTAGATTTAAAGAAAATTAAATTCTCTTTTTGAATAGGTGAAACAATTTGTTATTTGTATTTAGTAATTAAAGTTATTTTAAACTTAGGAAATTTATTTTACCGTGAGCAGTGGTAGCTCAGAGACTAAGGGCTCGCTGTCAATTTCACATTGTATAAGTAACCCAGGTTCGATCCCGCCAGCATTAATGAAATTGTTAGTTGCAATAAGTGCTGATTTAAAACGCGCTCGGCGGTGAAGGAAAACATCGTGGGGAAACCTGCATGCCTGAGAAATAAGAAATAAAATCTTTCAAAGACATGTGAAGTTTTCCAACAAGCATTGGGGCAGCGCGGTGGACATTACCTTGCGCTACAACTCTATCAGAGATGAGAGGAGGGCTGTGTTCAGCTGTGTGACGTATATATACTGTAAATTTAATTGTATTTAAAAATTTTCAGGTAACAAGGTTCTTCTAGCTTTCTCCATCAAACGTAATTGGGAAAAATTATTCGCCCCCGACTTTTACAACCCTCGTTTGAAGCGCTTAAAAGTATTCCATGGTGTCAGGTGAGTTTTTGTATTACATAAACTGACTGGCCGAACGTCTGGTTGTCCGATGGTGGAAGGGAGAGGGTGGAATTAAATTATGTAATTCCTGCGCACACTCTCCGAAATGCAACCTGTAGAAAACCGAAAGGCTGGCTACTTTACGTCTGTGTTTGAGGCTGGTAAGATTGGTTTTAACCAAATTCGGATCACCAATAAGCCTCTTAGCACGCCTTTCCATTGAGTCTAGAGCTGCTAGGTGGCATTTTGCAGCACCAGCCCATATATGGCAGCAATACTCCATGCACGACCGGACTTGCGCTTTATACAAAGTAAGCAGCTGTCCCGGCGTGAAGTATCGCCGCACCTTTGCAAGGACTCCCAGCTTCCTTGCAGCTGCTTTGGCCTTGGACTCAATGAACCGCCCGAAGTTCAAATTTGAGGATATTTCAAACCCTAACAACTGAAGGCGGTCGGTATATTTCAGTAATACATTTCGGAAAGAAGGAGCCAAGGTGAGCTGGCTCCTTTTTGCAGTGAAGAGTCACGCTTGTGTTTTGGAGGCGTTGAACTTCACAAAATTGGCATCGCCCCAATCGGAGACTGCCTGTAATGTGAGATTCACACGCTCTACCGTAGCTTCTCTTTCGGACTGTATTTGATCTCGAGTGGCCCGAGAACTTGGTTGGTACCTCTCTACAACTGTGCTATCGTCTGCATACCCATAGATTATGCCCGGTATAAGCAGATCATTCATATGCAGCAGGAAGAGAGTTGCGGAGAGAACCGACCCCTAAAGAACACCGGCGTTAGTCGCCATAGGGTCGGATGAGCAGCCATCGACGACGACCCGGAGAGACCGTTCACTCAGAAAGTCCTTTACCCATTCAATCAGACCAGGGGATAAGCCGTATGCTGGAAGCTTACCCAAAAGGCTAGTGTGCCAAACTCTGTCAAAGGCCTTCGCGACATCAAGGGAAACAGCAATTGCTTCCCCACTGTTCTCGAGTGCCTCGCCCCATACGTGTGTGGCATACGATAGAATGTCCACAGCTGACCAATTTCAGCGACACCCATATTGCCGGTCACTAAGGGGGTCATTCTGTTCTAGGTATGCCACTAAGCGGGCATTCAATACACGCTCCATAATCTTGCAGAGTATGGAGGTAATTGATATTGGACGATAATTGGCAGGGTCAGCGCGGCTGCCTTTTTTTGGAACAGGCTGCACGTTGGCCAACTTTTGGCACTATTCTAGTACTAAATGAGAGGCGGAACAAGCGTGTCAACACAGGAGATAACTCAGGTGCACAAGCCTTTAGGACTATAGCTGGTATACCATCTGGTCCACTAGCTTTATTCACGTCTAGACACCACAAGGTTTTAAGAACCTCCTTATTCGTTATACGAATCTCCGACATAGAGTTTCCGCAGTGAGGTAATTTTGGTGGAACGTAGTTGCCACTGTCCAGACGTGAATTATATATGCAAAGAGAGACGCGAACAAGTCCGCTTTCTCCTTAGCCGTATGAGCCAGTGTGCCATCCGGTTTTACCAACGGAGACAGTGTAGGTCGACAGAAGTTTGTCTCAACCGCTTTGGCGAGAGACCAAAAAGCTCTAGTGCCGGATGGTCTGGCAGAGAGTTTTGCGCAAATATGTTTAATGCGATCAAGACTAGTTTTCCGTAAAGCTTTTTTGTAGGACTTGGCGGTCTGGTTTGAAAGTTCTCTTCTTAGAGCTAATATCCGGAGCTTTGCGGTTTCGAGCGTCAACCCAGGATAGGTAAGCTAAATGCTTGCGCTTTTCAGCTTGAGCGCATTCAGCGTTAAACCATGGGCGAGCTTTGCTACCGGTGGGAGCGTCAGAGAAGGGGATAAAGTACTCAATAGCTTGACGCAACATATCCGTTATCGCAACCGCGCAGCTCGACGGACCCGCAGAAGAGAAAAAAACCTCCCGCCAAGGAAAAGATGCGAAAAAGTGTCGCATCTCATCCCAATCAGCTGACTTATACCGCCATATTTGTCGAACACCTTGAGACTCGTAATCAGGTGGAGAATATGACGATACAGATTTCACCAGACAGTGGTCAGATGTACCCAAAGGAGAACTAACCTGTACTTCATATCTGTCTGGTTCGGTAGTCAGCAGAAGGTCCAAGCAATTTGCTATGTGACCGTCTACATCGGGTACCCTAGTCGCCACCTTTACTATCTGAGAAAGACCTAGCATCAAAGCAAAATTCCTCGCTTCTCTTCCAGCATGGTCGGTCTTTTGGTATGGGAACAGCCAGTCTTGGTAACAAGCGTTAAAGTCCCCCAGAAAGACCCACTGTGCAGTAGGATACCGATTCAGGGCCACGTCAGCAGCCTCACTAAGGTGATCAAATGTCTCCTGATCACCACTGTGCGATCGATAGACACAGGCATAAAGGATTTTATCAATACCTGTATCACCCAGATTGTCGAAAAAGTGGCATCTTCAAGGTGACAGGAGACGCTGGAAGCAGATGTCATGGCGGACATACACACATACTCCGGCACGTGGATGGAATTTGCGCTCCAGGGAGAATCTAGGTGCGCCGCATTAAGTATTGAGAGTGAATAAGGATGGAGAATGGCAGTTGAGCGAGGCGTTGCATTAGCAACCAAACGATATTATCAGAGTTACTGTACCCATAGGAGCTTGGACTGCGGGGACGCCCGAACCCCCCAAGAGATCGCCATCGGGCCCTCTCGCCCGGTCGCTAACCGGCACGATGGGGCCACCCTGGGATTTTTCGCCAGTTGGCGGGGCAGCCTTTCATGAGTAGCTAATTCACTAATTGGGCCCCCAACTACCTGTAGTGTATGTGGTAGTGTTTATATATGTGACCTGAGCCAGCTGAGGTGATCGGGTGGCGGCCTGGTCCGATGCTGCCCCACAATGTTGTATTACTCCAGCGGACGTCACCAATTGACACTTCTTTCTTTATTTCACTATTTCAGTCTATCAACTTTATTGTACATTTAATTAACTTCAAACTCAACCGAATTCAATGTTCGTCGAAATAAAACACGTGACACCCAACACAAATAACGAACAGTCGTTCAAAGTTCAATATTCAAGGTTCAGTTCATGTAGCACCAAATTACAAACAGGGAAGAACGCGATCTCTTCTCGAGTCACAAAGTTCAGCGTTAAAGACAACAACTAAATTCCTTCGTACGATATTAAATACTACTCTGGCCATACAAGAAATTTCAAGATTTGCTACATATACTAAACATTTAATAAAATATATTTCAAAACGAAAATTTAAACCACCAGTTTTAGTGGAAAATCCACTAAGTTGACAACATTTTTTATAGAATTAGGGTGACAAACGAGCACATAGTCCATCTGATGGTAAGTGTTTGCTGTGGCCCATAGACATCTGCATCTAGCTTCGTTTGCGAATTAAAATGCAGATGCGTTGTCAGCCGTGAGAACTAAGATAGAATGCCAGTTTTCCAGTAAAAATGGTCTCCGGTTCTCTACACTCACCATACGAAACACAGCAGCATTAAGCTGCTATTTTACGTTGATATTCTGTGAGAGCGTGGTCCTTCCCCGGTCGAGCTGACCCATTCTTGCTACAATTATACTATTAATATAGCTGCAGCATGACTCTACCACGTAAAACATGAGTTAGCTCATGTTGCCAACATGTAGCAAATTAACAAATAACTTGAACGAGATAGCCAGCCGGTCTATTTTTCGGCGAGTCATGTTCAAAGTGCTACCCTCCTACGTATCTCCCACCCACCGCAACTAAATTCATCGCTCGTGTGAATGAGCGAGTTTAGTTCAGTGCATAATTTGACAGGGCGCAACGTGTTAGTGTTTAACGCTCAAATATAAAATTGTATTTATTAACTAAACTCGCGACGAAGATATTTGAACGCTACTGCTCATTTAACCACTTACTGACCTTTAACTCTACTCGCTACTATACTTGGGGAAGTATAAATCGGCCTTTAGACAACACTGAGTATTAGCACGCACCGAACGCGCCGCGTCATATGACGTCATCAGCATGCTTTATTCAATATTCGGATACCTAACCCATTTTATAAAATACGGCGCGTACGGTGCGGCTGCTATGTCGCGGTTTTATAACATGACTTCATACAACGAATTCTAAAATGTGGCGTGTACGGTGCGTTCGGTGCTGAAAAATGTGCGTTCAGCTTTATTAGTTATATAGATGTCAGGGTGACACTTACATCTCTCCTTTTTCAGAAAACTGAAGTATTAAACAAACTTACAGTCTACCTGATGGGAAGTGGCTTCTGCAGTCCATGTACACTTACAGCCAAGATCAAACAAGAAACACATCGCTAAACACAACCCTAAATACTATTCCTTATTATCAGCACACGTGTATTCGGTTTTTTACTTTCATCATATAAATCACAACAATATTATGCTGCTATATTAGCTGGTATTCTGTGCAACTAATTCGTGTTGTAGCTATAACACGTGGTGCGTGCCTCTAACACGGAAAAAACGGACTGTTTGATACTAAGTCAACACTTAATTTTAAAGTTCTTAATAAGAGTTTTTAGTTATTCACTTATAGAGTAAGCTACTAACAGTAAATTGATAGTTATAAAAATGATAATCTAAAGACTTAAATGGTATTACGTGATAGAACCACGCTGTGACTATATTATGGTTGTAGTACGAATGGGTGGGCTTGATCGGGGATCTTACAGAATACTAGCGTAAAATAGCAGCTAATGCTGTATCTTGTATGGTGAGTCTAGAGAACCAGGGACTCTTTTCGCTGGCAACGAGTTCTCGGAGGTGACAATGCATCTGCATTTTGATTTTTGATCGAGGAAAGATGTAGATGTGTACGGACCACAGTATCCACTGATCATCAGATTGACTGTATTATGGGTGACAAATGATCAGTATTCTATAAAAAAATTAGAAAGAGCGCAAACGCCAGCTTTTCAGATTTTAGATCAGGTTTCCTTATCAGACTTTCGGGAAT